ATATCTATGCTTCTATTTAACGATGGTGGCAGGATTAGATATCTATAATGCATGCATGAATTTAGGCAACTGCCTATACGATTCATCCTAATCCCCAAATACCATTCTAATTTCCTTTGACCTTGCATGCCACGCCTTCTTGTATGATATATTGCAGTTCATGGTCTTTTTGATATCTTCGATGACATTCTTAATTGGCATATGAGGTTCATTCTGTATACGACAATCAAATATGAGTTGGATTATTTGAGTGTGAATACTATAAACAAACATATATATATATATATATATATATTTTATACTCACCGAAACTTGTCCCAAAAGATGAGAATCAATGTAACCGGAGTCAATATTAATGTGGTCCCTGTTCATCCTTAGGTATAAACAATGGTGCAAACCCCTATACTGCTTTATTTTAAAAAGACCATGTTTCTTATTAAGAGATGCACGCAACCACCAGCTGCAATTGTGCTTGCAAGCAGACAGCCAAAGGTCTCAGTTGGAGGTTACGACCTTATACTCTCGATTATTTCTTACGTGATACAATTTCACAGTATGTACAAGTTGCTTCTTATCGACGAAAACCATCCCTTTGTCCAACTCTGCATTTTCAGCATTTCAGATCTGGCTACGGGCAATGACATCACGGCTACTCATGTCAAATCACCAACCATGTAAATGTTCTCATAGAAAGGGATTTCAGGTGGATGCAGACATTTTCAAGGTCAATGGGGCCGTCGACATCATATTCTTCATCATCATCATCTGATCCGGCCAATAAATTTTCTTCATCAAACATTTCATTTTCATCACCGTCTAGGGCGACATCAGGACCATACATGTCATTATCAGCAATAGTGTCAGCAAACTGCATATAGTTCATCGTTTCCACCATACTCCCATCAACTTCAACTGGAGTGGTATGATGGCTGCAGGCGGGCACATCTTCTATGTTATTGTGAAATTCATAATCATATCCACCACACGAACTTGATTTCACACCATGGCCCTCAAATGTCTGTTGTGTGTAGACCACTGAATAACGTTGATCTGATGCATACATAGAAGACCGAAATGCTATCGTGTCAATCCCCTACGTAAGCAATGTAGTGAAGGGACGCGAATCCATTTGTCTCATATTCGGGACATTACATACATCCTCTTTATCAATGTACACTTCCAAAAACAATTTGGTGGTTGGAAACTTGCACCGATACTTAATACGGTGTTCAACGTCTCATCGTCATTGATCGATAATGTCTTGTATTTGCTGATTGCTTGCCAGTGGTGATAAAGATATCTACATTTGAAGTTCAATCGCACACTTTCACCGTAACTTGCCACCTTGGACATGAACATCTCCTCTAAATTGTTAAGCGTGGTGTCAAGTTACACCCCACATATTCCTTTCGGCTCAGCATCATATGGCATACCTTCATCGGGATCCCGAATTATGTTTCTCCCCAGTAGAAGATAATTGGAACACTCTTCATACACTCCCTTCAATGAAACAAAAAACTTAAAATATCAACAATATACTTATATTGGATTTTACTTCTAAAAGAATTATATGGATGTTAACTCATTCAATTATAATTACTTGTGAGTCAAGAGCTTTATTTATGTAATCATTAATTGTAATTCAACAATAATACAAGTAAAACTAAATAATTAATAAAAGAATAATTTTTTAAGTAATCAGTGTTGATGTCCTAAATAATTAATTAATGAGTTAATACAAGAGTTAATACAATTAATATTGTTAATTAATGATTAATTTTTTAATTAACTCATTAAATAATATTATTCTTTTAATGATGTCCTAAATAATATTGTTAACTCATTAAATGAGTTAAAAATTAATGAGTTAATATTGTTAATTAACTCATTAATTAATGAACTCATTAAATAATATTGTTAATTAACTCATTAAATAATATTAATAATATTAACTCATTATTTTTACGCGTTAATTAACAATATTAACATAAATAAAATTCCTCCCTCACTATTCTATCCACATTCGCATTTTCACAAACAAAATTAACATAAATAAAATTCAAATTGAGAGAGAGAGAGAGATAGTGCCAACATACCTGTGAGAGAGACAAGCTCAGAGAGAGGGAGGAAGGTGCAGCGAGCGATAGAGAGAGGGAGAGTCACTGTGAGCGACCCAGAGAGAGAGAAAGAGAGAGAGCAGAGAGCGAGAGAGAGAGAGAGAGAGAGGGAGGTTGCCTCTGGTTGGGGTTTTGGGGAAAAAGAAAGAGATGAGGTAGAAAGCGTGGTTGCAAATGAGGGGGGTGGGCCATTTCATAACGGGTTTATGTTAAAAGTATGTTTCCAAATCGCGTGATCATTACCTAAAAGCGCTAATAGTAACAACGCTCTCTTAAGTAAAGGCGTGTTCTGTAACCACGCTTTCATAATTCCACAGTTTGGGCCAGAAACAAGCTGAAAGCGTGTTTTGTAAACACGTTTCAACTTAGTTTAGGAAATAAATTAGTATAGGGGCTTAGTTTGGGAAAAGCCCCATCGCTTTGGGTTTAACTATGTATCATACTCTTTCTTTCTTTATGAGACACCACGAAACTTTGGACTATTTTAGAAATATGGTCCGAAAAAAAAATTTGATATTTTTTTAATTTTTCTTAAAAAAATATGCAAAATAATATGAGAAATGATGTGATTCAAAATAAATTAAAAGTTAAAAAGTAACTTTTAACCTATTTCTCAAAAGAGATCTTTGTTGCTTATCAATTATAATTTATCATGCATATTTTTATTTCTTAATTATTTAATATAAAATTATGAATTTCATCTCTTCTATCAAATATGTTTGGAACACCATTGATAACATCTCAAAACCAACCAATAATTTTTCCATGCATTCCATCACTGTCATCTTCTACATCTAAATCATCATCATCATGGTTATAGAATACGATTTTCCATCTAAGGCCTTCTTTTTCTTCTAGTGACGAACCAAGTGGTGTCAGCGACTGTGGTGATGGAGCACCGTCGCACCTTAGCTTATTTGCTGGGCAAGTAGACATGATCTCAGATTGGAACTCGTCGCTTTCACGCTAAGACTAGAAGTTTTACTCATACCTTGTCGCATAGAGATGTTGAATATATATACTAACATAATTTTTATTTTACTTTTGTTTCTTTCATAATCATATGTATTCCTGTCGATTATTATCAATAATTTTTTTTTTAATTGATAAATATATATATATATATATATATACTAACATAATTCCGTGCTAAGCATGGTTTTACATAATAAATTATAAATTTATTTTAAAAGTAAAAGATATTTTATAGTTACAATAAAATTGCTTACAATCAAATAAACTTAACTATTTTGATAACAACTGCACTGAACTTTTATTTTTATTACTATTATTTTTTTGTTGTTTTATTATTAATAGTGCACACTAAATAATGACAACAAAAACATGTATTATAGCATAACTAATAAATATAAAAGGCAAAATATAACGTCCTTAAAGTCTCCTAATGGTAGCCTGTCTTATGTTAGTTCACCCAATCTATAACAATCATCAACTATTTTTTATCCTTCGACATTTTTTTGTGAATTTCAATAAAATTTTTGATTTTTCAAAATTTCAAATTTGATAACTAAAATTTTACAATGAACTTTTCATTTAAAGTTCATAAAATTTCAAATGAGATGTAATTTAAATATAAATAAAAATCTATCTTGGACTTTTCATTTAAAAGTTTTCAAAATTTTAAATAAGATATGGGTCAGATGAGCCAATAGTTATATGTCACATGTATTTTTTTTTATTACATATTTTTAAAAATAAAAAAAATTAAAAGATTTAGGTTAATAAATTAAAGTACTCAGAATTTCTTAGATAAAATATTATTTTACATTAATCCATCCACTTGCAACTACGTAGAGAAATAAAATAATATTGAAAAATCAAAATATAGTTCTTTTGTACGACTTCTTTTTGAGGTTCTATGTTTATGGTGGCAATATATTTATTTTTAGATTTTGGGTAAGAGAGAGAACGGGTGACAGTTAATAAGAAGGAAGATGATTTTTTTTCTATTTTGGAATAAGTATTATTTGCAAAAAAAAATATGGTATAATTATGACAACATTTTTGTTTTGGGAAAGGGTGGCAGAAAATAATCATTATTTTTTTAATAATTAATATGCTAAGTTAGCAAATATTTTTTTTAAATAAAAATTTTAAAAATAACAAAAATTAAAAATTTTAGGATGAAGCCTTGATAATTCTAAAGTTTTCATCATTAAAATGTCACTTTGTTGTAATTTGACACCAAAGTTATGCACGAGACACTGCTAGAAATTTCACATTTGGTGGCGTTTAAAAAACGCCGCTAATTATTTTTGCGACGTTTAGTACAAACGTCGAAGACGAGGCCGTCGTTAAAACATTATGATGTTTTAAAAACGTCGTTATATTAGTATAGATGACGTTTTTAAAAACGCCGTTAAATGTGGTAAATAACAATAAAATGACGTCACTTAATATTTAGCAACGTTTTAAAAACGCCGTAATAGATTTTTTATTATTTTAAAAATATAACCGTTGGTGCTGTAGTGACGTTTGGGAAAACGCCGTTATAGCTTCTTTTTTTGCTTTTTTCTTTTTTTTTTTTGAAATTGTGCTAATTCTATTAGATTTAACTAAAAAAAATACCTATAATAAAGCTAAAAATAACAATAATATGGCTACAACATTGCTGCTATTTCAATATATTAACTAAATTTAGATAAACATTGCATAATTATTCTAAACCAAAATCAAGCAACAAACACAACCAAAAAATAAAAGGAAAAAAAATATTATATCACACAAATATAATGCAAATCTGTCAAATAACAAATTCAACGAGACAATATGATTTCAAAAACTACAATTGCAAATTACACAACTTCAAGATCTCCATGTTAACACATTCAGTGGTTTTGGGTTGAATCTCAACTGGGTTGGGATGGATTTTCACGAAGTCGCACTCTGCCTCTTCCGTGGCATCACTGCTGTCTTCCGATGATGGGACATTGTTGCCAAAATCAATGATAGGTTGGTGGTTGTGGGTGGGATTTTCAGTGGAGAAGACACCAATGGATCTAAATCTGCAAACTTTGGCAAATTTGCAGACAATGTCTGATATATTTGAAGGTGGTTTTGTTGCATATTCCATTTCTTGACTCTCTGATGAAAAAAAAAAAAAAAAAAAAAACCCCACAAAAACAAACTGATATGGGAATGAATAAATAAAGGAACAGAGTTGATTTTTCTTCTTATAGAATAAAGTAGGAAAATCTTAGAAAAGTGATCTAAGTACAATAATATAGCATAGAGGAAACAAAAGCAGGGGGACAGAGAGGAGAAACACTGCGATTCCCGCAGAAATGCCAATGAGATAATGAACAAGGGTTTTAAAGAAAGAAAGACACTAGCTAGTTTGAGAATATCAAATTGTTTAGTACATAAACTATGAAATCCCTAAAAATAACAACTATACAATAAATGAAAAAATAATTTACCTGCAGAATGGTCTTTGCTGTCCATGGCACTGTCCAAGGTTCTGCACTAAAAACTGCATCTGCAGCCTGTAACATAAATAGCCGATTAACCACTAATCATGAAGGATTAATTGACAATGATTATGTCTCCAATTACTAAGCTCTTCTTAGAAACTATTTCTTCCACAAAAAATGTCTCCAGCAGTTAAACATGTTCATGTCTCTAATTACAAACATGTAAACCTACCATATTCCCTCTAGCAAAGAGAAACTGAATATCTTATTTCCATATCTGAAAAGAACTGGGTTAAGAAAAAAAATACTTTAAATGGGCAAAAAAATTAAATTGATTTTGAGTTCCAAAACTAGGAATTACTGTGTATTTGGGGTTCGAATTTATAGGCGTCATTGGCATCTTGGCTAGGAGGGGATTCGGCAAGCCAACCCTACATGCCGCTCGAGCTCTGCCTCTGTTTTGCACTCAAGGCAGCTTGTTCAGAGGCAGCCTTTTGTCTTTGAAGAAGTTCAAGTTCTTTTTGTTAGGTCTCCATAGTTTGCAGCTTTTGCCGTAGCTCTGCCACATCAACCTGGTGAGATAGTAAGTGTTAGAACTAAACTTCTTTCCAATGAAGACATTTTAAAAGAAACCACCAAAATTAATCAGATATCACTCAAACCAACAAAATTAATTATTCAATACATAAATCAAAAGTTTGATGTTAGTATTAATTTGTGCTCCGTTAACATAATGAAGAAACCAAAAGTTTTTGCTCTCTTAAATCAATCAATAAAGACCAAACTATTATGCCTTCAAATGAAAGCAACCACAAAGAAAGTCAAATTTAAAAAAGGAAAAAAAGAAAAGAAAAGAGAGGGGTCATAGTAAACTGCACCAAACAGAGCCACCAACCTACTTGATTTCAACTAATGCATGCAAATACAAGAAAATATGCTGCCAAGAATATGCATGTAAATACAAATTTCAAGACAATAAACTTGTAGTTGTAGACATTCCGGTCCAAAGAACATAGAAGAAAACCATGTCATATGACTTCATGGTTTTAATTACACTAAAAAAATGGGATCTAAGTCTTGTAGACTTGTGTAATTATGTCAATGATCCAATTAAAACACTATAGACCATAAACAGAGAAATATATGGACCAAAAGTACATTTATATCTCCATAAAGCGATCAAATCTCATTGAAAGAAAACTGAGAAATTGAATCGCCAAGTTACCAACAAAAACATACAGTACACTTAATTGAAGATAATTGCATTTCAACAGTACACATAATTGTCACTTGTAACCTTTAAGCAATGGATTGATATCTTTGTTTTCTTAAAGGAACTTAATTGTTTTATAATTTAGTGAATTGTTGATCAGAATTGGTAGGTATAATTCTTTGTATTTCATCTATTGCATGGAGAAAAGAGTAGAAATGGAGGAGAAGAGTAATGGGGAAGAATAAGTAGAAAAAGGCTATAAGAGAAGTAAGCAAAGCCATATTGTTTTTTATTAAAAAACTTATGCTTAATTTCGGGGACGAAATTCTTTGAAGGGGGGGAGGTTATAGTGACCCCGGTCTTCTCCCATTTGATTATTGTATCCGGACTTAGGTTCCGTAGATTCTGTCATTGTATAACGGTTGTTGTTGTCCTTTATTTCTCATTTGGAATTATAGGATGTGTTGGGCAGGTTTATTTCAGGTTGGTTGGGTTTAGAAATCATGTGTTGCTGTCCAGAATTTTAGATCTTCGCTCGAGCGAGGCGTTTGTCGCTCGAGCGAGCTGTTGTTTTTGGTTCTTCGCTCGAGCCAGGATTTGGTAGCTCGAGCGAGAGTTTGTTTCTGGTTTGGACCTGTAGGTTTGCATTCTTGGCTCGAGCGAGATTTTCTTCGCTCGAGCGAGTTAGTTCGTTCTTCGCTCGAGCAATTGTTCCTTCGCTCGAGCGTGTGTCTGGTTACAGACCTGAGGGTTTGAGTTCTTCGCTCGATCGAGCTTTCTTTCGCTCGAGCGAGCTTTTGGGTTGTTGGCTCGAGCAAGGCTTTCTTGGCTCGAGCGTAGCTTCTCTGTGTCTGGTCGCTTGAGCGACCAAGTCTTCGCTCGAGCGAGCCTGTCCAGTTTATATACACAACAGCGGGTTTTGATCAGTCTTTTTCATCTTCTTTTTGATTCCAAACCCTAGGTCCGACTTCTCTCTCTCCCTATTCACCTTCTCTCTTAGATTTGATCCACTTAGGGTGTGTTTCTACCCTAGATCCTTCATTAGAAAGATAGAGGACGGATTGGGCTTCATTCTAATCTAAACATTTGGTGATTTGGAGCACATTGGAATTTGGGCATTTATCTCTATCTTCTCCATTCGGGTTATTTTCTTTGAGGTAGGGATTTTCCTACTCCATTTTATAGGTTTTGTTCTAAGCTTTGGTAATTTGATATGTTGGGGATACTTTGGTAATTTTGGGAAAGACCCTAGTTGTATTATCGAATTAATTTGTATAAGTAATTCATGGAATTGGGAAAAGATGGTTAAATTCATGGAATTGGGGAATTCATTGGTTAATTAGCATAATTGGGTAATTGGAATCATTTGTTTATTGAATTGATGACATAGTTATTTTCAGTTTAGAAATAACTGTTTTGGGCTATCGGTGGAGGATAGTCGTGATTGTTGTAGACATTGCATGTGGATTAGGAATAACTGAAACTAATCACATTGGTTAAGTCATTAATTTTGACTATTGAATTGATACAGAAAATACGTGTATTGATTGAGCATTGCATTTGCATACATTGTTTTGTGTGTGGGAGGAGATAGGGGATGTACTCCACGGTTTAGGGGAAGATAGGGGATGGACCTCTAAACCGGATTTTACCAGATTTTGTTTGGGAGGAGATAGGGGATGGACTCCATTAGCATCACTATTATGTGTGCTTATTATATCGAAGTGTTTTTATTGATACAGCACTAAAATGTGAAGAAAAGAGCTAAAGAATTACTTTACATATTCCAGTGTTATTTCCTGTCTTTTATATTTCTGTACTTTAAGTTTCTGCGCTGTATTTCATTTGTAGGAGTAGTTTTCGAAGTATATTGCCGCTGTAATTCTCTACGGAACTAAGATGTGATTATGTTATATAATTCATTGTTGTAAGTTTGGCCAGGTTCTGAGCCATGTTGATAATAATGGAAAGTGAAATGTGTCTTAGACATTAGTGTCATGAGACTGTTTAATGATAAAATTGATTATCTTGGTTAACCATCTATTGAATGCTATAGCTTTATTCAATGCTTATATTTGGTTTAGTATGTTTCTACTGGGCTGTGGCTCACCCTTTATGGGAACATCATTTTCAGGTTCAGGTGATAAGCTACCTCCAAGGACTTAGCTGGGGAGGGTTTAGCTTCTGGATTGAAGAAGACTACCTTTAGTTAATAGTTTTTATTTATTAGTACATGTAAACATTCAAGCCTAGGGCTTTTCTTGTATTGAGGTTAGAACTCATATTTTTTGAGTCCAAGTGTTGGCTTGGAAAGATGTAAGCCTGTAGGGCATTTTATTCGATGTTACATGTAATGATTTATTTAGTAATACTCTGATGAATGAATTAATAAATTGTCTTCTTTAAATAATGCATGTCAATGTTATATAATGGGTTAATTTTGAGGGCGTTACATTTGTAGATAAATATCGCCAGGCTCATGCCATTTTACATCAATTAGACTCGGCAGGACACAATCTACCTGCTCATCTTCATTACAGTTCAACAACTGATCGACATCGGTATAACCTACCAACTACAGATGAGATTGCAATTGTAATACGAGGTGATGGAACAGAGGTAAATGGAATGAGAGATATTATTTTACATTTCCGAGGAAATAATGAGTTGATGCAAATTAATGAATGTCACCCAGCATACTTGCCATTACATTATGTTCTATTATTTCCATATGGTGAGCTTGGATGGGAACCTGAGTTGAAATTGTGGAATGTTCAGTATGATCGACCTTCAACTGATCGACTTACTCAAATGAATTTTTATAGTTATCGTTTGTTTGAACGACCCACAGAGTATTCAACAATTTTGCGAGGTGGGAAACTATTTCAAGAGTTTTTGGTAGATGCTTGGGCTGCAACTGAGCAAAATCGATTGACATACTACAAGCTTAATCAAGAGAAACTTCGAGCTGAGCTTTACCAAGAGTTGTCAGATATGGATCCAGATTATGTGCGACCTGGACAAATTGGTCAAAGGTTTGTTTTGCCATCTTCATTTACTGGTAGTCCTAGACATATGTTTGAAATCTTTCAAGATTCAATGGCTATCACAAGATACAACCAACACCCAGATATTTTTCTTACCATGACTGCAAATCCCAATTGGCCAGAAATTACTTCAGCATTATTACCATATCAAAAACCTATTGATCGTCCTGATTTAATTGCCCGTGTTTTTGAGTTGAAGAGAAAATGTTTGATGAAGGAGATAGAAACAAATAAAGTGTTTGGAAATAAAGTTGCACATGTTTTTACAATTGAATTTAAAAAACGAGGCCTCCCTCATATGCATGCACTTTTATTTCTTAAGAGTCCAGACAAAATTCGGACATGTGCTCAAGTAGACAAATTGGTCTGTGCAGAATTTCCAGACCCAAAAGATGATCCTATGCTTTTTGAAACTATCAAATGTTGTATGGTACATGGACCATGTGGTGCTTGAAATCCGCAAGCACCATGTATGGAAAATGGTAGATGCACTAAGAGATACGCTCGAGCTTTCACAGAAACAACAACTATGGATCAAGATGGATACCCTATCTATCGTCGTCGCAATAATGGTCAAGTACATATTGTGAGAGGGTGAGAGGGCAAGAAGTTGATAACAGGGATGTCGTACCATACAATGCATATCTTTCAAAACTTTTCAACTGTCATATAAATGTGGAAGTTTGTGCCGGAATGAGATGTGTCAAGTACATACATAAGTACATTTATAAGGGTTATGATCGTACAACGATGGTGTTAGGAATGATAAATGAGATTCAACAATATCTCAATGCAAGGTATATTGGACCTCCAGAAGCTGCTTGGCGAATATTTGGTCATCCTTTGCATGTAGAGATGCCAACAGTTGTACGATTGGCACTTCATTTACTTGGAATGCATTGTGTTGTTTTTAACCCAGAAGAGTCATTACAAACAATTCAATCTAGAGCTGGTCAACAAATGTCAACTCTTACTGGCTTCTTTGCATATTGTGCTACCAGTGAAGATGAATGTCCATTCACTTATCAAGAATTTCCACAACATTTTGTCTGGCTCAAGTCAGAAAAGAGATGGAAATCAAGAGAAAGGGGATATGCAATTGGTAGAATGTACTTTGCAAGCCCTAATTGTGGCGAAAGATTTTATCTACGTTTGTTACTAACCGTTGTCAAAGGACCAAAGTCGTTTCAGTCTTTACGCACAGTCGATAATGTTGTGCATGATACATTTAAATTAGCATGTGTTGCAAAGGGACTTTTAGAAGATGATGAAGAATGGATACAATGCTTGAAAGAGACTGTAGTTATAAAAACTGGATATCAATTGAGGAGATTGTTTAATATTATTCTCACACAGTGCTCTCCACTAAATCCATGTGCATTATGGAAATAATTTTCAACGCATATATGTGATGATCTTGCACATAAGATTTGTACATTGTTTGTCATTTCTAAACCAACTGAGGCTCAAATTGAAGATTATGGTCTCCATCTTTTGAATCAAATGCTTCATGAATCAGGCAAAAGTTTAATTGACTTCCCACCCATGCCACAACCTACCGCAAATTGGAGTGCAGTAGTTGGTAATCGATTGATAGTTGAACATCAACAACTGCAGAGTGAGGCACAACACACAGATCCACAAATTAATATTGATTGTCTCAATAATGGACAGCGGAATGCTTATAATACAATCACTTCCTCAGTTTTCCAAAATAAAGGAACTGTTTTCTTTCTGAATGGGGATGTAGGAACAGGGAAAACATTTCTAGACAATACGATTGCATTAAAATGTCGTAGCCTTGGGCATATCGTTGTTACTGGTGGCTTGTCTGGAATTGCATCACTGTTACTGGTAGGAGGTCGCACTGCAATTCAACATTTCCATTCCGTTAGATGTATTGGAAAATTCACTTTGTGGGTTTAGCAAACAATCATTACAAGCTGAGTTATTTAGAAAACAAACTCATAATTTGGGATGAAGTTCCTATGCAACATAGACATTGTGTTCAGGCAGTTGATTGTACATTGAGGGATATTTGTGATAGTGAAAAGCCCATTTTACGGGGTATTTACTGTTGTTCTTTGGAGGAGACTTTCGACAAATCTTACCAGTTAATACCAAGGAGTTGTGAGCAAATTAGTGAATGCATCATTAAGACACTCTGTTCTATGGAAGCATATATATCATCTTGACTTTGATTTTAATATGCGCTTGAATCAATGAAGGCCCCATAAAAAATTGCTAATTTTGCAAAATTTCTTGATGGAGGTACACTACTTTAACTTGTATTATATAGCATTATTTTAAATTAAATAAATTGTGTTTACACTTACTTTTTTATTGATTTCATTTTTTTTTAGATTGGGACCAATGTCCTCAAGAAATCGTTAACCTTCCATCAACAATACACAAATGTCAAGATTGAAGAATTACTCTCTACAGGTTCATCCCACAATTGAATATAATAGGAGACTTCAAACCCCAATATTTTTTAAACTGAACGACCAATTCTGTCTGCGCGTACGATGATGTTAGTGACTATTAATACTACTGCGTTGTGAATATCTTTCCAGGGAGGATTAATACTTATCTTGCAGCCCAGATAAAAATGTCCGAAGATAATGAATTGATCCTACCCATTACAATAGATATCCCTAATGAATATTTAAATTCATTCGGATCCTCCTGGTTGCCAACTTTTTAAGTTAGAGTTGAAAGTGGGTTGTCCTATAATATTGCCTTGAGAACATTGCACTGAAAGATGGACTATGTAATGCCGTACAAAGATTGCATGGTATACTAGGTGCGGCCTCGCATAATTTGAAGCTCAAATTTTAACTGGAAGAAAAAGTTTGGCAATTTGGCATTATATACCAAGGATATCTTTGACACCATCTTCTTCAGAAATGTCTTTCCAAATGACAACGACGTCAATTTCCAGCTCCGATTGGCATATGCCTGACCTATTAATAAATCTCAAGGGACAATCTGTTTGAAATTGTTGCGGGTTGATTTGCGAGTATACCAGTTGTTTAGCCATGGGCAATTAATATGGTGGCATTGTCTAGATATACATCCTTTGATCGTACTAAGTATTCTCCTCCCTAAGATAATTTGGATTCTACTACAAATATTGTTATCTGAAGTATTGCGTAGTATTCTATGCAGATTAAATGACGTTTTTTTAGAAGGTAACCACGTAGATTTATTTCTGTTATTATATAACTTTTTAAAAAATTTCAATTTAATAATAATTTGAAATTGGACTTTTGTAGGATTGGACCGAAAAAATCCATGGAGCTTAAAAGGAGAATACGACTACCTTGCTTCGATGGGGATGTAATAAGGTAATTTCAATCTGAAAGTATTTTACATGTATATTTCCAACAAACGTACTAATTTATATTTTTTTTGTTTCCACAAATTACCAGATTGTTTGTGCATATTCTCATTGGGGATACATAAAAGTTGATATAAAGACTTTTTGAAAGTAATGTGGAGGAGTTTGGGCAAACGCATATGAAGACATGTTATTGACACATCTTTTGTAAAGCATACATATTTTTGGTGTATGACATGTTAGTGACACATCTTTTGTAAAGCATACATCTTTTGTAAAGCTTTAACCCACTTTTTGTAAAGTTTTAACCTACCTTTTGGTGTATGACAGTATAACTTTATTTCTATTTTTTATTCAGTGTTTACACTTTTTTTACTGCCTTTTATATTTGATATGCAATATAAACTTTAAATCTTATATGTGATGTTGTTTCTTAATTTGCATTAAGATTAGGGAGAGTTGTTATTTTATTTGAGTTTTGTAGAGCGTGTAATACAAGCAAAATTGTTATAAGTTCTTTAAGAAGAAAAATATTTCAATATATTTTTTCAGTATCTTTAACAAAAAATGACACAAACTTTATAAATCTCAACATAATACGTATAAATTATAACTACATTTTAATCTTAAAATTATTTATACCGTGCCTTTAGGCACGGACATACGCTACTATATATATATATATATATGATAAGAGAACAAAGAGAGAGAGAGATAGAGAGAGGAGAGGAGAGGAGAGAAGAGAAGAGGTGTGCAGTGTATATACATTTCTTACTGTGTACTTTTTTGTTTATTTATTTATTTATTTTTAGAGAGGTGTGCACTATATATTTTCCAGGAAAGGAAAATATCTTTTAAATGCATTTCCAATTTCCACTTAAAAAAGGTGTTGGATTTTTTTATCCTTTTCTCAACGAAATATTTTTTGTTGATGAAATTCAATAGACGAGCATAGTTGATAAAATTCCTTATTTAATCCCATTGAATGAAATTTTTTAAAGAAATATTTAAAATGTCATTATTCTCTTTCTCATTTTTTTTCACTTCTTTTTCCATTCTTTTTTTGATCCACGTTAGCAGCTATGACTACTATGGCAAAAAAAGGGGAAAAAAAAAGAAAAGAAAAGAAAAATAAAGAAACAGAAAATTTTAGGCATTTCACAATATACAATATTTGAGATGTCATGTGCAAATCACATGTTATTTTTTTTAATCAATTTATATACAAATTTTTACTGTACGGTTCTGATATAAATTGATAGTTTAAGATGACAAAGTATAGCTTTTTTTTTTTTTTTTTTTTTTTTATTTTTTTTTTTTTTTTTTTTTTTTTTTTGAGTGAGGAAAGTGATATTAACGGATAGTTTAAGAGAATAAACTGTAATTACCCTTAAATTTAGGCAAGGGTTATTGGAAAATGAATAGTCATTGACTTGAATTTTTTTTTTCATCAACAAAAGAAGAATATATTGATGCAAATGAAAAAAAAAGAAAAGAGTACAATATACCAACAACAAAATTACATAAAAAATACCAAGAACAAAACATCAAAGCAAAAGGAAACACATTTCAGCTAAGATGGAATATGACTCCCAACTAATCCTATACAAAGACTTGGTCATGAAAAAAATATCATGAAAATGATCATGAAAAATTCTCTATTTTTGGATTACACACACAACAAAACACCATGCACTAATCAAAGGATGAAAAATCTTGATGCATTTTATAATACCTAGCATTATTCGGCAAAAAAACACCTAATCAAACCAACCTCCCACCCAAACACACTAAGATTGTGTTCGGCTTATAAATTTAAGTAAGAATTTGAAAAGAAAAATGAAAGAGGTGGATGAATTATAGCTATATTTCATTCACATTTTACCTAATTTTTCTCTTTTTATTTTTAAATTCCTACCAAAATTCACGAACTAAACATAATCTAAACTCATCAAGCTGCAGAAATTATCTGGTGTTTTGAGAATATCACGTGATTGTATGTCTAACTAATGGTATTTTGTCATTTTCCCATACTATCATTTCTCCTTGATGTTGAACGGACAACATCACCATAGTAAAAAAATTTCAGAATGTTAGGGTCTGTTTGGTAACGTTTACGTTTTCAGTTTATATTTACAAAAATTTTATAAACTGATTTTTGTTTATTTTTAGAAAAACATAAACTACAAACGCATTTGGTAATTGACAAAATGTTTAAAAAAATTTAAAAACATAAAAAAGAGTGAGAAATGACAAATGGTGGAAAGTGGCGGCGAAAGACGGTGGTGGAAAGTGGTGACGGTGGGTGGTGGGTAGCGGGTGGTGGTGGATGGGTGGGTGACAGTGACGGTGACGGTGGCGGATGGTGGGTGGTAGCGAGTGGGTGGTGGTGGTGGTGGTGGCAGCGGGTGGTGGTGGTGGCAGGTGGCAGGTGGCAGGTGGGTGGCGGATGGCGGGTGGTTGTAGCGGCAACTATGCATGAACTTCAGCACTGAAAGAAAGAGTTGTTTACTGTGTTACACGGACTCGGGTACGGGTCCCAGGTGCGGTATGCATGTACAGGTCCGACTCATTATATCTTAACCCTACATTCAATGGTACACGGTGTGGGGAAAAAATATCATATTTTTAATCTAATATGTGCCATAAAATGGTACTATATGTAACTCACGGTGTCAAAATCACATTTATAGTAATTTCACAATAATTTGCACATATAATAATTGTGTTTTATACAATTATATAAGAAGTGTCCGTTGAAAAGTATCCGACACATATCCCACACCCTTGTCCGACTCTCAGGTGTCCGACACAGGTATTGGAGTACGATGTAAGTATTTCCGCTTTAGCATATCGCATGAGTGTGAATGTTGCCATGTCAGCATGTACATAATAAATCCCATTGAATGCACTTCAAGAAGGCAAGAAGAGATGCTCAAATGGATATGAAATGCATTCTCAAAATAAGCTTTATATGAGTGCAAATGAGCCCGGCATTATTCCAAATCAAGTCAAGACAAAGCAAAACATGTGCTGGGAGTTAAAACACTTTTTTTCTTCTAGGGAAAACATGCTGGGTACCAACCAGGTCTCAGAATGGATGCATAGAGATGATCTAGGCCAAAATGGCCTAGCTGGGTGAACTCAGGAAGTATTGGCCGAGGTCCCACACCTCTTGACCGAGGTGTGGTCTCCTAGGCCTGGGTGTGCGGCTGTCTGCCGATATGTAACAAAGTGCCAGCAAGGGTGTACCATAGTCGGTGGGTGGTGGTGGTGTGAGTGGTGGTGGCGGGTGGTGGATAGTGGTGGCAGGTGGGTGGTGAGTGGTGGTGGCAGGTGGTGGTGGGGGTGGGTGATAGGTGGTGGGTGGTGGTGGCGGAAGACAGTGGTGGAAAATGATGGCGGGTGGTGACTAGTGTTGGGTGGTAAAAAAAAAAACTCAAAACGGAAACACATTTTTTGAGTTTACATTTTTTGGCCAAATTTATAAACTGAGGCCACTGATTTATAAATCAAAAATTTATCAAACAAGTTTTTATTTGAATTTTTAAAATTTTTGTAACTATAAACAGAAAACTGAAAACGTAAGTATTATCAAACGGCACCTAAATAATTACTCCGCCAAAAAGGGTATGGAAAAATTATTCTTGCTAGGTCATTTGTTGTTGAGCAAATAAAAATAAAAATAAAAATTGGGAACTAATATTAATTATTCAATGTCTAGGTGGAGACTATGGAGAAAAGTATTCATGTGCAACAAAAGAATGATCATCAGCTCCCTCGTATAATAGTTGATAGAATTATACATATATGTCTTTTGCTGTTGTCCACTTCAAACCCTGCACATGAAAAATTCCGTCAGGTCAATGTGTGAAGACGAAAACACAAAAATACCCTCTCTTGTCTATTCTTCTCGGAAGTACATTAAAATTACTCATGTGAATGTTGAAAATAATTACTAATTGACAAGGGTAATCTCGACTGTTGACAAATATCTTAATTAACAAGGGTGATCTTAATTAATTAATCAATAAATTAATTAATTTTTACTTATTGTGCTGTTACATTTATAATGGAGTTTAGTATTGACTTTTTTAGTGGT